GGGCCCCCCCCCGCCCCCCCCCCCCCCCCCCCGGAAAACAATTTAGTATATTATATATAATAATGTAATACAGTATATATACAATTTACTTACAATTTTATTTTGTAATATTCATGCATGTTGAAACTCAGTTGCTGCTAAATCATCTGCATTGTTAAATAAAATTGAAAGTACACAAAAATCTAACCATAATGGATTTTGACATTTATATATACAGTATATATCAGAGTAATATAAAATAGGTCACACTGTACAATAAACTTAAGTCATGTGTTCATAGGGCATTCATAAGCAGTGCATCAACTTAAAATGACACATTAAATGGCACATATGACTGTATTCTCAGTGTCTCGCTAGACACTTTTACAATGCTTTTGAATGCTAATAATGAATAATTCAGACTCCTTCAGTAGGTCTACAGTGTGGATGCACAGTGCAACAAAATAAAAACATTTAAGATGTGTGTTTTTTTTGTTTTTTTAGTTTCTCAATCACACCATAGACTGAGAAGCATGCCGCTCATCCTCTGAGTAACGCCTGAACTGTTCCCCTAGCAGTGGCTCCAGGCCCTCAGCTGAGCGGTAAGAACGTGCCCGAACAGCACACCCGATGACTCCGCCCATCACAACCACAACAAGCACCACTGCAACAATGGCTATGGTGATGATCTCTGAAATAGTGTATGACCGAGCTGGCGAGGGAGAAAGAGAGAGATTTCCTGTTTACATGAATCAAACCACAAATCTATAAAGGTCAACAGTCATTTTTATTTGTACACTATGATTGTGGTGGCCCCATTGCTCTCCTGTGTGCACTTCACACTCCAGTCCAGTAGGTGACAGAAATGCATCTTCGACGGTTTGCTAACTTTCTTTAAACAGGTGTCATGACAAGTCGGGTACTCCCTAAAAATGAGATCCCATTGGCTCAAAAAACTTTTAGCCTGATTCCTACTAAATCCAACCCAATCTCACGAGAAAGCATAAGTATTTTACAAGGTAGTGATTTATTATGAAACCACATGATGCAATTCATAAGAAAATGTATGTTTTTTATATGAAAAAACAACAACATTAAGGTACACCCCTAAACCGAATCGCTAATGAGGAGTATGAATGAAAACTTGAGATCATACAAATTCATACAAATTAGCCACTAATTCGGCAAAACAATTAATAGTTAAGAATCGCCATGGACTATGTTATAATGACCATCAATGTCTTTGTTAGCTTATGTACTAGCATAGCATACAGATACCCAATTAGCCTAATAGCTTGGCTTATACACCACTCATTTGCTCTTGCCCTACATGTCTTCACATTAGTCTATAATGTAATAATGTGTTAAATATCCAGAGAATTCATTTATAAAAAGACCAGTGTAATGAAGAGGGGGAAGATCAGACACTGGCAGAAGAAGCAGGTGAACATTTCTTCCACTTACTGAACTGCACACAGCAGATCAATGGCTTCTGCAGCAATTTTACTGTTAAAAACGATTTAAACTGAACAGAGCACTTGAAAAATCATCAGCGAGCCATGTGGACTATTTTTGTTTGCGCTTTTGGGTACTTCATTAAGTGTTGAAGTGAGTCATAATGTACTTCCATTAGACTCTATTCACACAGCTGGCTATTAATTAAATGATCTACTTTTGTGTTCTGCAGCAGAAAAAAGATGAGAGTAAATGATGACAGTCTTCATTTTTGGGAGAACTATTCCTTCAATTAAGCAACTTTAAGTTCAGATAAGTTATACTAATAAAACATTCTAGAAAGAATACTTCAGAATAGGCTAGTCGATCATTAATAGGTAACAATGCAGGGCTAATGAGTAGTCCTACATTAACACTTTAGCTGCTACTATAATCTAATATCTAACAAGAATAACTAATCAGTAAATAATAGTAAATTTATGTCTGAGAGTTCTTTATTAGGTAATCTGTAATTACTGAGTGAGACTGGCCACATTCCGAACTAATAATTAACTATGCAAAATTATAAAGCATTACCAATTAATCAACATCAACGTGTCTGCGATATAATACATTGTCTTTTTATTCTTAATATGGCCATACAATGCATAGTAATTACTCAAATGTTACCTAGTCACTCCGCATGGACTACTAATGATCTGAACCATTATTTTAAAGAGGAAAAAAAAAGGTTCTTCACTTTAAAATTACTAGAAGTTCTTGAAGAGTTACTAGGTAACACTTGAGTAATTACAAATGCAAGCCAATTGCTCTTAATCTCGGACAGATGGTAATGTTGTGATTAGTAATTAATTGGTCATTCTTTATAATTTGTCAGTTATTTGTAATGAGGAGGACAATATTATTCAGTCATTATTGATTACCTCAGTCCTAATTTAGTTTATCTTGTTTCCATATTAGTTTATAGTAGTAGTTGATGTGTTACTACTCATTAGTCCTGTATTACTTCCTGCATAGTTACCTATCAATGACAGACTATTTTTCTGAAGTGTATTTTTTTATTGATGTATGTATGTATGTATGTATTTTTGCTGTGTTACTCACTTGGCCACTGAACCTCATAGGTGTAGCCCAGGTTTTCTGGGGCGGTGACAAACATTTCAGCATTTCTGACTGGTGGCCAAAAAGGAACCATATTGAACTCTCTGTTGTGCCCAATTGGAGCGTTTTCCTCAGGATAGACCACTGTGCCTGCTGCATAAGCACAGAGAACACTAGTTAGAATACAGCTGAAAGATGAATCTCTTTTTGGTTATGCGTGTATGTACATTGTGTGTGTGTGTGTGTGTGTACGCGTTTTTGTGACAAATGAGGACATAAATTTGTATAACGACAAAGGTATGACATAGGTATTACAAGGAGAAGGTGACTTTTCAGGACATTACCCCATGTCCCCACTTTTCAAAACACTTATAAATCACACAGAATGGAGTGTATTGAAAATCTGAAATAGCACAAAGTCTCCTGTAAGGGGTAGGTTTAGGGGTAGGGTTGGTAAAGGGCAATAGAATATACGGTCTGTACAGTATAAAAACCATTACGTTACACTATGGGATCTCCCCACTTTTCACAAATGTAAACCTGTGTGTGTGTGTGTGTGTGTGTGTGTGTGTGTGTGTGTGTTTACCAGCAGTGTGTCTCTGAAGCCATTCATCAAAAATGGCATCAGTGAACGTGTGAAGCAGGACAAAGATGGGGTCGTTTGGTGACAGGTGAGTCTGTCCACCTGTGCCATTGAGAAACAAATGAGCCAGGTTGTGCAGACTCCTCACTACTGGGTCATAGTTTCCCTGGGGAGCACTGTAACCTAGTGACACACAAGAACACCAATTAAAAGTCTCCTCGCTTTTAGGAGTTTATGCAGGTGGTTGTTTGGTGTGCTAGTCTCTTTGTCTGTGGCTCCAAACATTTATAAAAAAACTTGTTTTAAAAGTAGCTTTATCTGCGGTTGTGAGTGTATCATACCCTCAATAGTGTTCCTGAAGCTCTGAGAAGAAGTCGAGTAATATGGTGGCGTGTCAAAAGTGTTCAGCTCTAGACAGTCAATGATGTCCTGTGGTTGTGGTAATCTTTGAACCATGGGTCGAGCCACATTACCAGCAGGGTTTCTTCTGATTGGACTTGTCTCTGTACCTGAATACACACCAGTCAGAGAAGGTAAATAACTTTGATAACTTTTGATACATTTTTATTATTAAAGACCATCAGTATAGTGTCTCAAGGGCAATATGTCTGGTAAAATATCCCATAACCTTTTTATGTTAAGATTTGTTTAGGATGTAAAATCGTGTCATGTGGTGCGATTCTATCAAAACTTGATGATGTTTATAATTTATTAATTAATAATAATTGTAAAAAATTATGTTTATTTTGAAAAATATATTTTAAAAAGGTAAATATAGTTAATTAAAACTGCCCCCCCCCCTCCAAAAAAACATATTTGTTACGTAAAATAAAATAAATGTTAATTAAATAAAACAAAAAATAAAATAAAATAGAAAATCTATTTATCTTAGCTAGTTGCCAAGGCAACATTTCTCATTTTAATTTAATTTCCGTAACTTGAAGTACTAAAATAATTAAACCTAAAACTGAAATTAAAAATATTTAGTACAATTATATAGTACTGATTAAAAACTGTATAGAGAAATATAAAAAAGCTACTAAAAATGACAAAAACACACAACAAAAATTTTACAGTAATACCGATGTAAACACACGTATTCATGGTGTAAGGAAAATAATTATAACTTTTTACTTTATGGTTACACCACGTTACATTTTTAGAGTCATTCGATTTAAAGTTTGTAAATGTTGTAAAAGTTTATCATAACCATATGAAATCAAAATTAATACCTAGTTTGTTCGTTTTTATCACAATTTGTCATTTGTTTTTGACCCATGAACCAAATCTCTTTATGAGGTCCTGCAGACTGTGAGAAAGAAGCATATAATACTATTCACTTTGTCTGCAATTGTGAGTCACTTGCAAATACAATCACATGATCCTAATAATTTTGCCCATATAAGGTTTGATCTTTCTTCTGAGCTCTCAAAATGCCTCAGAGGATTAGCTCAAACAGCATGTGAGCAGTCTTAGGTCTTGGAATGCATGTGTGTGTGTGTGTGTGTGTGTGTCTTAGTGTTGCAGATGGTCTCCAATGTCTCACACTCCCCCACACTCTCACAGATCTCCCACCAGGGAGAGGCCACAAAATTAGACGTGTGTTTTTGCAGTATTCTGTGTGTATGTGTTTGTGTGATGTATAGAGAGGCAGTGTGTGTTATTGGTATGTTGTGTGAGTGTGTCGTACTGTTGCAGATGGTCCCCAGTGTCTCATACTCCTCCATACTCTCACAGATGACTCTCCACTGAGAGAACACAGAGTTGGAACTGATGCCATTGGTGTCAAAGCTGCTTCTGGCTCCCAGCAGGTCATCAGTGCAGATATCACACTCGCTGCCTCCTATTGCAAAGTTCCAGTACGGCAGGGCAAACGACGGGTCCCGCAGCATGTCCTGTGCACACACACACGTGTATCCCAACATGTCCCATTAGCTGATCCTTCTATCAATGGAGAATAGTTGGTATTTCTGCTCACTGCTCAAGATAATAAGACTTGCCAAATTGATTTTTCCAGAATAAAGCATACATCTAACAAAACTTTAGAGGATTATGCTTAAAACAATGAAAAAGGAAAAACAAGGTTAAAAGACTTCATTTCATTTCATTTAAGATACATCCTCTGAAAAAAATTCTTATCTTAGTTCCCAAGTAAATTGGTTCTTAGTATAGTTTTATTTATTTATTTTATTAAAAATAAAATGAATAAATTAAATGAATAAAACAAATTTCAGCCACATAAAAAAATGATCAATTAGTCAATCATAATTATGACAAAAGTCGAAATTATGAGATAGTTTTGGAGATAAAAAGTCAAAATGATCAGATACTCAATGTCAAAATAATGACAAAAAAAGTGACAATTATGACAAAATATCTAACAATTTTGACTTTTTGTCATAATTTCAACTTTATGTCATAATTATGTTATAATTATGTCATGCTTTTGACTTTTTGCATGTCATAATTATAACTTTATATATATATATATATATATCAAGCTTTAAAAAGTATGTCAAAGCATCATAAGAAACAAGTGTGGCCGGAAGGGTCGTCAGAGGCTCTTCAAGACTGTTTTAACACCACTGACTGGAATATGTTTAAGCAGGCTGCCACATACAATAACACCACAGACCTCCAGGAGTACTCAGAGACTGTCACTGCCTACATCACCAAGTGCATTGATGATGTAAGTGGTCTTATTGACCCGTCCCTGGGAGTTTGATTGACAGGTGATCTGACCAATCATAACGCCAAATCTGCCATTTCGTCTGACAAACAAACTACTGTATGACTTCAGAAAACATGACTTACAAGGTATGAGTCATATGAACAACTTTTATGATATGTTTTGCTTTTTTTTAAGCTTGGAAGCTCCAGTCCCCGTTCATTACATTTGTCTGGAAAGGAGCAACCAATGCATTCTTTAAACTATCACCCTCTGTGTTTGACAAAAGAAGTAAGTCATACGGTTTTGGAATCGCATGACATAATTTAACAGGTTTTGAATTTCTGTTTCCTGCAGTACAATTATCATTATCTGTTTTGGGTCACCTGCATGTCTCTCTCCAGTTGCAACAGGTGATACCGGTGCCAAGTGACAAATCCCGGTCCTTCGTGAGAGAAATCCACACCTCCGAAGCTCTGCTGGCCTGGACCCATGTAAGTCTTACTGACCGAATAGTAGTGGGTCCAGACAAAGTAATTATAAATGGTGATGTTCTCACACTGTACACTTGTTCCATCAGGGCCAAAAATCTCCTGATAGCGATGAGTACAGATGACCAGGTCAGGATGGACGGTTCTTTTAGCCTGGTCCAGATCGTTCACAAAGGCTCTTTTCTCATCTGTAGACATCTGCATGACGTTACGACGCACTGAGAACACACACAAACCCAGATGAGACAGAAATCAAAGCACACAAACATCACATATTGTATGTATTTCCAGTACATATCTGTATTGTGTTTATTTCTGTCCTCACCCACGGTGGATCTTTGATCACAGTTTGGCCCTGTCAGGCCATGTCGGCATCGCCCACAATTAAATCCACTGAAGTTTCCGTTACACTGGCAAGTCCTGTTAAAGAACCTCAGCGGCCATCGTTCTCTATCATCCCGCCCATCGTGAGGATACTGAGGCCCGTGTGGGCGGCGGTCAGCAGCAATTGACACACATTGACCTCTCCCAGTACTGGATCCACACTCATCATTGGGCAGTCCAGTAGGTGATGGGCAGCAGGTGCCACTCTGCAGACCTTCTGGTGTCACACACTGACGTGGGAACTGAGCGTGCGTCAGCACAACGCACAGTAGCGCTAAACACACACTCTTCCACATCCTGGAAAGGCATATATGGGCCCACATGCATTAAAATATGCTTTAAGGGATAGATCGCCCAAAAATGACAATTTCATAATTTACTGTCATCATTTATTCAACCGCATGTTATTATAATCCTGTATAACTTTATTTCATCTTTGGAAAACAACAGGCAGAATGAAAATCATACGGGTTTGGAGTAGCATAAGTTGAGTAAAATATGTTGGTAAGTTAAAATATCTATCCAAAAGTGCATAGATTGTGAAACTTAAGTTAAAATGGTCAATATCTATCAATCATGAAAATCCGCTTATTAGTTATTCATGCCGTTTATACTTGTAATATTAGCAAACTATTCAATTAGAACACTTAAAAAAAACTTTTTTTGTTTAAAAGTTAAAGTATTGTTGTCTCTTTTCCATGAAAAGATATATTGTATCTAAACATCAGATAACAAAATAAACGCATTACAGTTTTTTTAACTGCTTACACGCATTTTCAAAACTTTGCCTCTTTTTTTCAAAACTTTACACACAAATCCAAGAATTGCACACACAAAATGCAAAATGCCTCACATCTCTTGCAAAATGAAGCACTGCATTCAAAATATCACAAACACATCTCAAAAGCAAACATTTGCGAACACCTTTGCCATAATACTAGTTCCTATTAGATTTTTGTGTGTTACATTGAGAACTGTGTGTTGTGTTTTGCAAAAAATGTTTTTATGAAATTTAAAACTGATTCAAGGTCCGAGAATTAGTGTATGGTTTTGCAGATCTGGTGTGTGGTTCTGGTGTTTGAGTGTCAGGTTTCAGAAATTGTGTGACAAGTAAAGATTTTGTGTGTAAGCAGTTGAAAAAAAAAACTGTAAAACATATTAAGAATCCTTTGCAGAAAATTTATCTTGAATTAATAATTTACTCATTTGAATTCTTTATTTTTCTTATCTTGTTGGAAAACTTTTTATGTTTTATGCTTAAACTTATTTTTATATTTTATTATTATTATTATTATTATTAATTTCTTTACATATATTTTTTATTTTGCAGTTTAACAGGAAAAATTAAACATGAATTGAGAGAATTCTCTCACCATTAAATGTTATGGTTTGCTTCAGGGAAATGATAACTGTTTGTGGGAGGAAAAAAACAACAACATTATTTTAGGTGAGTGCAAAATGTGCCCAGTAAGACCCATTCCTACTGCAGAAGATCTGAAAAATTTAAGAAATGTATTACCCTGTCAAAGAGAAACAATGGAAAGCAACCGATTTCTCTTTCTCTCTCTCTCTCTCTCTCTCTAATATTGTATTTTTATTTTTAGTTGTTCGAAGTAGTATAGGCTTGCCGTTGTATAGCAGTCTTCTAGAAGCATCTAAGGATATAGACTGTTCCAACTTCACAACCTCAAACTGTAGTTATGTCCTAAGAGCAAACACCCATACATGGATTGTATTAATGGTTCTCACAAAATAAAATAACTTTTTTCCTTTATTGATTTGTCATCTTGATTCTTATGATGGCAAAAAGATCCTGTATCTACGCTCATCATAAATTCTGAAATGATTAATCAAACAACAATTCATCCATGGCATGCCCTAGTGGGCCACAATGTCAGTCTTCAACCAATGATATAAAGAGTATAAAAACGATACAACTAAAGAAAGATCAAATTAAAATATGTACCTTATTTCATCCGTTCTCTCTTTTCTGCCCCACTCTTTCCCTCACACACTCTTTCTTTCTCCTGTACTGTAGTGCCCCCCTGTGCTGCCCCCTGGCCAACTCTTTTATACCTACACCCCTCCTGACTGCACTCATCTCTCTGATCCCTCCATCCCGTGATCAGCAGCCAGTAGAGAGAGAGAGAGAGAGAGAGAGAGAGAGAGAGAGAGAGAGAAAGGGTAAAAACACAGCCTACAACTTTTCTCTTCAATGAATGTGGCTTCTCATTTGCGTCGGTTTGACCTTTTCAAAGGTCTGATAGATCAGTGGTCTTTGTTTTCATAACAGGCAAAATAGTGGACAGAAACAAACCATTTATTAAAGAAAAGACACATGTCTCAAGTCTGTTATGAAAGAATTGTGCAGGAAACATAGAAAGACATTTGAATTGTTTTTAATCCTGAACTCTTTACATTTCAATTAGTACATATCCCAAATATAAACAAGTTTTGTTTTTTAAAAACATTTTTCTATAAAATTGGATATACATTTACAAGTAAATGGAAATTGTTAAATGCAATAAATGTACGTGTATTATAGATATTGTTCTGCTTCATCAAAACAGTACAAAATCCAAATCCAAAAAATTATTAAGGCCTAAATTTAAGATGTATGTATTTGAATTGCATATTAAATTTCCATCCATTAGGATTACACAGTTTTATAAATTAATGTGATCCCCAATGTGATCCCCATTTGCCAGCTATACATTAATGAATCAAGAAACAAAAGGTTATTAATAGTACAAATAAACTGAACGTGTTTTAAATGCACAATAACCAGTTTTACATATTTATCATCAATAAATCAAATTGGTTTCTGTCTCATACATTTTAACTATATTGATTGTTCCACAGCTAGCATATTTTAACTATGTTCATACTTGTAACTGAATAAATGTAAGTGTCTTCACAATTAACAGATTTATGCAGATCCTAAGCAATTTGAGCATTTTGAGAAATATGATTTCATGATTTTTATGATTTAAATATCGTATAATGTATTTGCAAATAATTCAAAATAAACTTTCTAAATAATAATAAAATAAATCTTACTTGTTTCTTACATGTTTAATTTATGTATGACTGACAAATATGTCTCACATTAAATTAGGTTTTTGTTGTTGTTGTTGTTGTTAAAACTGTATAATCCAAATGGATGGAATTTAATATTTAACTCAGAGTGTGGGACAATACATTTGTTCAAAAGTATTTAGTCTTGTTTTTCAGAAAAATAACCAAACATCTTTAAAACAAGATAAATATACTTGAAAAGCAAAACTGTGTAATATAATAAAACTTGTTTTTCTCAAAATATATGAGTCAAGGTAAATAGTTTGTTTGTTTATTCATTTTAGGAAATAAACCATGTTAAATGTTAGATGTTTTAAACATGAAAAAACTAAATGAAAACTAAATTGTAAATATATTCTCTGAAAACAAGCCTTAATATTTTATGCAGTTTTGCTTTTCACGTACATTCATCTTTTTCTCAGAATCTTTAGATATTTTAAACAAGAATCCAGCCTGAAAAAGTTTATGTACTCTGCTTTTTCCACAGATAACAGGTCGTTTTACTGTATGAAGAACAACACTAGAGTGACATTTGCTGTCAAGGATAACCAGACCATTCAATACACATATAGACACACACACACACACACACACACACACACATGTTCACACAGTCAGACACAGTCATTTACACACACACTTGCACATCTACAGCCATACTCCTTAAGGTCAGCAATGCTAAACCACAGAGGTTCTGGGGTCATAGGACGAATTCTTCTCTGTGGAATCCAGTGGGATAGTTGTCATAGCAACATCCTCTTGCTGGACCTCTGAGTACTCTGGAAGGTCGTCTACAGCAGTTCTGTAAGCACAAACAATCAGTCACGATGCATATGTGTGTGTGTGTGTGTGTGTGTGTGTGCGTGTGTG